CAACTACGTCACTCGTTAATCGCATTTATCGAGGAAATCTTATACCGCTATACTGCGATTATCATTGCGTTTATTGAGTTTGTTTACATTGGTTTACAATCATTGTACATCTTTTTCTCTTCTTTTTCTCTAGTTTCATTCTTTCCAATTCAAAATATCAAATACATCGATGCAGTAGCTTATGTTTTATATTTGCATATTTGCATACATTCGTTTTTTACCAAAATTCTTACACTGTTATACACTTATATAATTTTTTTTATATTGTACTTCTCATGTGTTCATCAAATATTTTATTCCCGTTATGAATTGTTGATGACAGAAACCTTTTTAAATGATTCTTGAATTTATGTTTGTTAAAATCTTACTATCGACATCACTGTAAATAAACTTAAGTGACGAAAACCTAATAAAATACGTGTTGCAATGTATAATCCCTTAAATATTTTTCTCACAAGAGATCTTATTTCAAGGTACGCGTGATGACAAAGATAACAAGGACGATCTTGGCGAGGTCGATTAGTCATGAAGCGCTCACTTGTTATCGCGTATATGCGTTATTGTTCTCGGTAATTCTGTTGCTTGATAGCCTCAAAGAGAGAGATAGATAACTATAATGCGCTTCAAAAATCGACACAAAGAAGGTTGAGATGACGCGATCGATCATACAGCCATATAGTTCGCAGTAAAAGTTATTTTAAATATATTAACTTGACGTTAATTAGAATTAATAATGTTGTTAAATTTCAGTATTATAATTTTTAATTATCACAAATTTTTTGTTGTCACACTCTCAATTATATATATATGTTTATATATCTATTTAAAAAAAAATGTTTTTAAGATAGATTTTTTTCTACAGTTTGGAAACAATAAATTTAAAAAAATGGGGAAGGTATTATGAATATTTTCTTATGCGATATAAATAATATTTAGAATTTTTAACCAAAAATGGTAAAAGTGAATATGATTAATTATACGTTTACGCATATAATTAACTATACGTTATGTTGTCCGCGATCCACAAAAATAGTACATGTAGTGCGAAGAGGAAAGAAAAATTTTGTATTCCAAAATATAGTTTTGCAAGTTAAACATTAAAAGGCGTGAGGAATGGATGCAGAACGCGTAAATATTTATACGATATATCTCATAGAATAGACGTAGCGTGTCTCCGGATGGGACGTCGTCGATTCAAACCGATATCTCCAAGAAACGTTATGTAAGAACCGCTTCGGACTGGCCGTGAACTTAACGGCGTTGTCGTCGTGATCGTCGCAGTCGAACGCGGAGACCTCCCTTTCCACGCACTTTACACACATTCGGTGCACTCGAGTATGCACAAAAGAATACGGATTTCAGTACTCAATTTGATTCTTCTTATCTTATCACAATGACAGTTATATATACAAATTATTATAAGTAACGATTATTAAAAAGAAAAACAAGAAAAAAATACAAGGTATAGTAACAGTGTATATATATATATATGACAATCTAATTCAATTAATCTATTTATTAATTTAAAAATAAGATGGATATGCAAGATTGATGTACATTTATATCTTATTTTCTTTTTTTCTTGATATGACTATCGGTTTTACTTTTGATTCTTTTACTTTTAATTATTTAGAATACCAGTTAGTAAATGGAATTTCCGTGAAGAATAATTATATTAAAAATAGAATCAATATACTTACTTATTTTGGAAACAGTTAATATAATGAATGATAAAAATTAAGGGTAAACCTCAATAAACATAAAATTTGATAATTTTTAACTGTTAATGAAAAATTAAGTCATGTAGAATGTTTATCTTTGCAAATATATAATTATAGAATTATTAAACAATTATCAAGTTTATATATATCTAGAAACATATCATTTGTTGACCTATCTCACTATTTGTTTTTTGCCTTCTCCAGTATGTAACTGATGCGATAATTTATTTTTAACATTTACTTGCTTTTTGTATTTGTAGATAAAATATATAAGATATTTCGTGATAGAGCTAAAAAAAAAAAATATTTTAGTAAATAAAATTTTTCCACGTACAGAACAGTTAAGGGCTAAACATCAAACGCAATTCCAATCTCTGGTATTCGTCTCTAACGCAGAAACTTTTGCTTGTTTTTCAAGAAACAAAATCATTTCTACATCACTTTTCAGATGCAATTTTGACAAAGATAGGGTTCAAACATAAATGATATCCAGAAATCAGCGATATTCTCGAAATATTATATGTTCAAAATCCTCAATGCTAAATATTTTAACCAAGATTTTATCAAAAAAGCGAGATAACTGTCTATAATTTTAGATGATTTTTTGTATGAATATAAAAATTAATAAAAAGTCTGTTTAAAACTAAGTAATAAGTTTTTATATTTAACCTTATAGAATAATAGTTACATTTTATGTTATAAGAATAATTTCTTACGTTTTAATATATTTATTTAATAAGTCAACAAATAAAGTTTATAATTTTATCATTAATATTAATTTGCAAATGTAATATATAAAATAATAAACGCGACTAATATGTTGTTTGATTGACTTGCTTTTAAATATTTTATATAGAAATATTTTCAAAATATATCAAAATGTTTCCAAGATAATTTTACATCAAATCATTTAAACAAAGATTTTATTTATGTAAAAATTATCAATCTATTTAATATTGAAAAATATAAAATTGCAATAAATAATAGTTTACTGTACAATTTTCAAAAAAGTCGATTTTTAAATGTCATAGAATTTGTAATTAAAATGTTAAGTGACAGAGAAAACAGATGTCTGTGAATTTATTATATCGAGGTCAATAATCGAAGTCTCTTTAGCTTGGAGTGATAAAAGACTAATTGCAGAAGAGCGAGTGAGAAAAAAACTTATATGAGTAAAAAAATAAATCTTAGCAGGAAAGAATAAAAACATGTGTAGATATAGAAGGAAAAATACGGTATTATTAAAATGCAATAATATGTTTTTTAATATTTCTTAATTAATATCTAAAAAAATTAAAGAGAAAACGTTATTTTTTTAATAGTTTGTAAAAGAAATTGAGAAAAAAATTGCATTAGATCTGACGTTATTTCCAAAGAAAAATTAGTTTGCTATAAATAGCATTAATTAGTAGATTTTGAAATATTTTTAATTGATTATAGTTAAAAAATTTTTTTAAATATATATAGACGGTAGTTTTATTAAAAATTTTTCTTTTTTTATTTTAAACTTGTCTTGTACAATTGTTTGTTCATTCTTTTATTCCATTCTGCTAGTGCATGATTAAAAGATTATAAAATTATATCATATAAATTTTGAAGAAATTATTACTTGTCTAAATTAATATTATTATATCTAATACAGAGTTTTACAATTTTGTGATTCTTTATGTTAATTTTGTTTTATAATCATATATTTTGTTTTATAATCATATATCTTATTTGAATTGTATTGTATCTATATTACGAGTATTTCTTATTTTTTAAATTGAAATTACCATTTTAATATGTTTCTTCAATACTTAGTTTTTTGATATTAAAATTTGGCGAGAATTTACGTAAAATACAAAATAAAATAATAAATGGTATAAAATTACATATATGTATAATTACAACGCTATTATTTTTTAAATGATATATAATATGAAGGTAAATCTCCGGAATATTTTCGATAGAGTTACATTTCTCTTGCGTTAATTTACATATATAGAGTTCTCACTTTTGTTATATAGTTTTCGTTAATTAATTGCTATTTAAAAAGAGTGCCGGTTTTAGCCATAATTGCAACAATTTTGTTCTGTTGCTGTTTAATATTTCCACATTAAATCCATAAATATATCCTATTCTTTAAGCAACTACTTGCATTAATCCAGATAAAATAGAAATGTAGTCCTTTCGTAATAGAATGCTTTTTTAGTGCTAAATGTTCATGATTTTGATTAAAAATCGGGACAGATTATAAAATGCGAATGATGAATCAATATACTTTTAGTCTATCGACTCACCTGAAACATTATTCAGATTAGGTGTTTCGTAATAATCTTTATATAACCACTTCATATTTTTACCATTTGTTCGAGAATAGAAAAATTTTAAAATAGTGTCGCCAGATTTTTTAAGAATCGTTTCTAATGTTATTCCGTTGTATGGAAATAATTAAATTTGACACAACTCTCAGTTGAATTAATTAATTTTAATTTAAATTAAATAAGTCATAGAAGCGTTTCAAAAGACTTCATCGAAATTGTGACATTGATACGATACGCCAAACTGATAAGCAACGTGACTCAAATAGGAAACATCACAATTTGATGATAGATTATAATGATTCATAGTTGCATTAAGCAATAGTTTCAGATATTTTTTTTAGGTATTGTTATATTTATTAAGTAATATCAAAATATTTTTATTATTATTATCATTAATGTCTTACCTTATAATTTTTAATCTATTCTATTTTAATATAATAATTTCTTTTGTAACAAATTTTTTTATTTTAAATTATATTATTTTTTCCTAAGTTAATATTTCTTTTTGTAAGCATTTTTTATTTCTTAAACAACATAAAACATTAGAGAGATTCTCTGAAAGATATTTAAAAGATATTTAAAAGCATCGAAAAGGACTTTTGTATCTATGAAATTAAATTCACTTTTGTGGCCAAAAATTCCTACTAGATATAAGGTTTTTTATTAAATGTGTCTCATTTTTTTTAAACAAATTTCTTTATCTGTAAAGACTAAATATTATAAGTTTGCTAACTGTAAAATATTTTTATCATTAAAACACAGAAGATAATTAATAGAAGTTAATTAAAAATTACTAATCAATAAAAATCTTTTTTCTATTTCTAATCGATCCTATTCAATAAAATAAAACTTTTAAGCGTATGTACATCATGTTATTGATAAAAAGTACTGATATGTTAAATACGACTTAAATACAATAAATATTCATCGAGAGACAAAGATGCGCCACAAGAAGATAAGGTGATTTTCTTACCGAGATGAACTGCCAGGTTGTATCTCTCCAGTGCTTGACCTAGGTGACCCTTCCTCATGAGAATATCACCCTCGTGCCTCGCCCGACTGGCCTCCACTTCTCGTGGCCACCATTTCTCCACGAGTCTTTGCACTAGCACATTTGTTTCACTCACAATAGCGATTTTAACTCCACATACGTGACAGTTCTTTGACGGATCCACGCAGTTTCTGCAGTACGTGTGACCACAGCCGGCGGTCATTGGCTGATAGAGAGCGCCTTCACACAAAGGACACGCGAAGGATGTCTCGATCCTCCGTCTGGGGTTCGTTCCAATACCGATCATGTCCTCCAGGAGCGCGGTTGCCAGGTGTTTCAGTCTGTCGGCCGGCACGGACATCGCCGTTGAGCATCTGGAGTAGATCTCAATGGACTCCTTGACACGACCGCACTTGAGCAAGGAGTCACCGTAACCAAGCAGCACCTCGTAGCTCGATCCTTGTTGTTTCAGACATCGCTCGTACAGCTCGACCGCCAGGTGGTAGTTACGGGAGGTGAACGCCTCCTTAGCCAGTTCCGTCATCGCGCTGCTCCTCGTGCGTCAGTCTTCGGGAGTGAGAACAGAGTGTATCCTTTCGCGACGCGTTCTCTCTACGAGTAAATCACATACGCGCGCCGGATGTCTTCTCGGTAAAAACCGTTCAATGCCGGTTTCGTGATGTCAAAGACGACGCACATCTTTTGGAAACTACGTGCACGGGAATTACGCGCGGATCGCGTGACAAAGACACGGTCTGCGGAAATCAGGAATACAGTAGCACGATCACAGGTCACTTGACCCCGGAATAGATAACAATGATTCACTTAAACGGGATTCATCGGAATCGTCGGAGCGACACGCACAGAGTATTTGACAGCTGGCCGTCCACGCGTGGACTGCTCCGCACGTTAACGCGCGTGCGACCGCTCCATACGGCACGCTGGCGCACTGAGAACTGACGCCTCGGCTGTCATCGGTCGGCCGAGCCACTGTCAGAGTCGGCCGCTCGGTCGACCGTCAGCAGGGGATGGTGGTGGTGCGACGATGCTGGCGGCGGTGGTAACGGTGGAAGAGTCCAGCCGCCTCCGAGACACGAAGCCAGCGCCACGCGGCTTCGGATACACCGCAACGGGGTCTGGGAGGTCGCGGAGAGAATTACGGATCACGCTATAGAAGTTCGAGGAGTGTGTTGCCGTTTTACTGTTGCCGTACCGGCGCGGCGTGTCTGCTACGATGCGTAGGTGTTGTTGCCGCACTCCCGACGCTGCTCCCATCCGACGAGGCGTCGACACGTCACAGCGAAGCACGTCTCTTTGTCTGTTGAGTGTCCCCTAATCTCCGGTCCTCATTATTGAGCAAATTGTTATTGTCATATGCAACACGGTATGGCACGTGATATCCCTTTATCGTTGATTTTTGTGAGAATTTCTGTGATTTTTCCTACTCTCCTCAAGCATCTTCATATTCTTTCTTGATTTTTCCCATCCATTAGTTATTGCCGATAAAAGGTTTATTGCTTTGTTTGGATCAAACAGATGGTGAAAACCGTGATTGTTTCTTTTTTCTTAATTTTTTTTGTCTTTGATGTTTATTTTAGTTAATGTAAATTATAATAAATGAGTATATTGCGCTTAAATTGTAACTTACAGTGATTTATGATTGTCATTTATTATACATTATTTCGATCTTGCCTACGTATTCTACGTATTTATCTACGTATATAAGAAGGCATAACAAGTCTTCGTTGAATTGCTTTTATTTATTTTCTGTAGGTTCTATATTAATCATATAATTACGTAAAGCACGTAATTATTAGTTAGAAATACAATCTAAATTTTATCGGTTATAAAAAATTATAACTATATATCTATTCGATCCATTAATTTATGACAGCTGTTCGTCAAAATGTCCTTTTTTTAATATCTTGAAAATATTTAAAGTTTATATAAGTCTATTGAGTTAAAAACTCGCACTATTTTCTTATCACGTACAATTATATAAGTATCGATATCACCTTGGAATCCAATAACGTCAGTCAACGATTCTGTTATCGGTAAGCGCAACGACGTATTAAAAATCGCTTCGATTCCTCATTTATACTCTTCACATCCTTGTATTCGCTCTTATCAGAATCATTTGTGTACAAAGACCCAATATATAAATAATTTTTAATACTATTAAGTCCCGCAAATTTTACGAAATATACCTGCTTGGATACTTGCTACAACTTTAGCTCGATCGACCGGGTTCTTCCAACGGGAATGGTCTCGCCGGAATCAAGTCGGATGTGCACAAACTGTACGATGGCGTGTCACAGGGAGAAAGAGCGTGATTGCATTGTCGATCTATAGCAACGTAGCAAGTATAACGAGCTCTTTATAAGGTATAAACTGCTTTTCACTGCTAAATGTCAGTCTTCTAGTTTCCAGAGTTCTCACTGAACATGAGAGGTAACTTTATTCCGAGATATCACGTTTGTCTGATTCGTGTAGATGCACGCATGTGCGTAAAGAGAGTACGCAGACGCCAAAGGACTCTTCTCCGAAATGAAAGGAGAGGGCTGAGCTGCATACCGCGAGGACAGTAAGGGAAAGGGTGACGAAGAATAAGAGATCAATATATGGCGAGTTCACGAGGTGATTAACCTCTTGTACCTATCGTCTATTTATGGAGTATTCTCTTTTGCTGTTTTAAAATTTAGGAAGAAATTGTTTTATTTAAAACCAACTTTATCATTTATACAAATAACAAATGTAAAAAATTTTAAAGAAGGTCCAGTTATACAATGTAATATTGAATATAAAAAATGGAATACTTATTCCTTCTAAGTTTTAATAATGTAAATACATATCGATATTTTGTTTTTTTGAATGCTTTTAAATAGACTTCTAACATACATATATATACTTATTAAATATACATGTATGTGTATATATACATATATATATATATAT